AGTCTGCTGATGATGGTGTTTTAACAAGATGCACCTTTTCCCTTTAATCTCAGTATGTATCTTACTTTCTACACCACCCTCTGTCATCAAACACAGAGAGACACACACATACCAGTGATGGTTCTTTGCGCTTCCTGAGCGATTGTCATTCACCGCTCTGCGTCTCTAGCCCAAGCTTACAAGATGGCAATCAATTAACTGTGCACTCCATCACAATAAAACTATTGCCCACCCTTAGATAACTCTTTTTAATTGTTTTCTTACATTATAACATTTTGCAGAAACTTCAGCGGCCGTAAGTTATGGCATTTAATCTCTCAAAGTGCTAAGACATTTAATGGCTTCCTTCCTGCAGGGAAAGTGCCTCGGGCGACTCCCACTCAGAATATGATTTTTAAAAGGTCTGGCAAGGAATACCAAGAGAGGCTGTCCTGCAATGAAAGGTGGGAGGCTGGGGTGCAGGGATGGCGGTAGTCAGGATATATGACTAGGCTGCCCTTTGGGGGCACTGAAGTCATGTGTTGGTGGCAGAGTTCTGCTTCTCTTGATGCCAATGGTGAAGAGCTGTCAACTGCCTTAATGGGGGACCGATGGAGGGGGATGTCATTCAGTGATACAGAACTTGTTTTGCACTTCGAGTTCTTGATAGGGCTAGAAATCCTGGACAGCTGTTGCCAGGTGGAGTCCAAGAGCATGCCAAGGGCTACATTCGCTTGTGAGTCTGCACAATAATTTTGCTAAGGATCTGAACTGGTCGTTTGTGCAGATATTTGCCTGGACAGCTGTTGCCAGGTGGAGTCCAACAGCATGCCAAGGGCTACATTCACATTCTGTACAATAATTTTGCTAAGGTTCTGAACTGGTCCTTTGTGCAGATATTTGAAACTGGGTTTAGACAGGGACACAAGTGGACTGAGGGCTGTAGGATGTCTGCCCCTGGCAACAACAGTATCAGGGCCTTCCCCAGTCTTCAAGAGCTTTAGGCTTCCAATCCCAATAGCCACACCAACTACGACCAATGGCTAGAGAGGATGGAGCTGTAGTGCAGGACATCTGCAGAACAGCTGGGGGGGGCATCTCAGCTAGAGGCATGAATCTCAGTAAAGTTGAAAGGAGCCAGAGATAGAACAGGGGATAAATGATGGTAAGGTCCCTGACTTAGGCCCCGACTATATGGTCAAAGACTGTGGGAATTGCTGCGGGTGTAAATTAGATGAATTCACATTTTTTAAGCAGATGGCGTGATGCAAAAACCCATTCAAGTCAATCCGGCCCTTTTTGCTTCTGACACAAAGTTTATTTCCCTGCTGCTGGGGGCTTCCACTTTTTTCAAGCTGGAATGTTCCAAACAGACTTTTTCTCCAGTGAATTCATTCTTCAAAAGGATGGGTAGGTGTGTGGGTGTGATGTTCTGGACAGCAGGAACAAAAAACAGTAGTGATAACTCAGAGTAAAATTTAATAGCTACTTTTCGTTATTAACTGACCCCAAAGCTTATTAGAATAATCTGAGCAAACACAGCAACACCATTTTAATAGACCCATCCCAACATGCACATTTTAATAGACCTCTGTTCCTTGCTCTCTCTCTCTGTCGCCCACCCCAGTCTGAAGACAAGCATTGGCTCAGTGCTAGAGCAGATGAAAAGGGGCCCAGGTTCAAACTGCAGGTAGCGCTGTGGATAACTTCCATCTAAAACTCTAGAGCCGTGGTTCCCAACCATGGGTCCTCCGATGTTCTTGGACTACAACTCCCAGAAATCCTGGCCAGCTCAGCTAGTGGTGAAGGCTTCTTGGAGCTTTGGTCCAAGAATACCTGGGGACCCAAGATTGGGAATCACTGCTCATGCTCAATAATACTGGGTTACTCATAAAAACAATTCATGAACAAAACAAAACACTGGGCTAGAGGGACTGCTAGTCTGAAACGGAATAAACCAGCATTCTATATTCATTAACAAATCACTCTAAATTTTAGCAATAATAGTACAAAGGCTGCTCAAAATCCCTGTTGTATCCTCAGGGGACATGGAAGGTAATTTTGAGATGTTTGGGAAGTCCCAGCACCCTCTCCCTTCTTCCACTGAAAAATGTTTTTGGGGGCACTGCAGGGCATGAGTAGCCTTTTTAGTTGTTGTTTTAAAAAACCTTTTAAAAAGAAGATTATTTTTGGGATGTGCAGGGAACAGTAGGGGATGTAGCTTTCCAAGGTCTTGGATTGGGTGTGTAGGCAACAATTGTTCCTCAGAGGCTACTCATGTCTGATCCAATGTTGGGAGGAAAATATGTTACTTACAGATCGTACAAGAACAACAGTGCCGGGAGGAGAAACCCAGGAAGCATCTGGCTATACATGTGACCCAGGCACCCACCTGAGCAACTTATGAAGGCCAGACATTGTCATGTTGATTAATTTATCCAGTATTTCAATAGGATATTTACTAGAACTAGGCACTAGAAAGAGCCAGAGAAAATGCTATATACTGTATAGTGCTCACTACCTCTGCCTTTTTTTGGTGTCTGTGGGGGAGGGGCACACTTGGAACTGATCCCCCATGGATAGTGTGGTCCTATTGTATTGTGATCACAGGAAGAATGAGAGCAAAATATTCCACCTTAGCCTGAATCTTAGCCTAGAAAACAATATGTTGCCATGCAGAATGACCGAGAAAGAGGATCTGATGAAACCAGATCCTTTTCTAAAATGCAATTAATTTATTATTTGGCTTTTTACTTTTAAATGCTGTAAGCTGCTTTGGATCTTTCAGGCGAAAGGTAGCATATCAATATTATAAACAAATGAAAGAACAAACAAATAATACACACACCATGTTGGTCTGATTTACTGATTCTTTTCTTCTGTGTTTTCATCTGTCCCCTCTGACTGGATGTTCTTCTTGAGGGATGGCTCAAGACATTTTGTGCCTGAGGCAAAGGACTAGATGGAACCCGTTTCCCATTGGAAGTACAGAAGTTGGATACATTGGTGGTTTGAATTTAACTTCAGACCTGGTGATGGGAGCGTGTCCTCCAGAGCATGGAAACAGCTACTTACAATATAGGTACTTGCAACTAATTGCACTGAAGTAACAAGTAATGTACATAACAAGTTACTTTGTAGGCATAAAAACTTAACTGTAATGAGCAGCACCTAATAACTTTTTTTTTTAAAGTAATTTTGGTGCATTTTAGATACCGTTCAACATGTGTTTTTCCCCGGTATAATGCCATTGTCTTAACAATCATAAGCAGCAATGGAAATATTAGCACATTTAGTTAGGTCTCTGGCTGTAGAGCCAAAGGCTGGGAGTTCGATTCCCCACTTGACTCAGTGATCCACAGAGTCCCTTCCAGCTCTGCAGTTTGAAGATTCTTATTAATGAACTGTGGGATGGCTCAGTGGTTTAGGCATCTGGCTGCAGAGCCAGAGGTTGGGAGTTCAATTCTCCACTGTGCTTCCTTGACAGGTGCTGAACTCGATGATCCATAGGGTCCCTTCCAGCTTTGCAGTCCTAAGATTCTAAAATCCTAAGATTCTTTAGCGCTGTCTTTCCATAACTATTTCCAAGGCGTAATATCAAAACCGGCCAATAGAGGGAAGCAGAGAGAACTTCCCCTCTTTTTCTGTCCTGCTGGTGACTAGACAATGTGCTAATAATGTGCAACATAACTGGTTACTGTATTGTGACCATAATGTAGTAAGGTGATAAGAAACCTAATGGAGTTATTTTCAAAATGTAACCTTTCAAATGGTGCGGTCTTTCACCATACCAGAGGGCAATAAGATGGTCTAGGGCAGGGATTTTAAACTCAGTTTACCTGGGGGCCACTAGAGACAGAGTCTGGGTGAGGCTGGGCCGCATCAGATTTTCCGCCAAGCGGAGCAAGAGCCCAAGGAAGCTGCCCAGGAGTTTCCTTAGCCGACAGACAGGTGGGCTGGCTGGTAGGCTGCAGTTCTGCATGGAGGGTGCAAGAGGTGCTGTCTTGGAAGAGAGCCAGCGAGCGAGGCAAGGCTTTTTTTTTACTCTTGACAGCAGAGGATGTGTGGGCCTTTTAGGGGGGCAGGCAAGGCGAGGGCCACAAACTATCATCTGGGGGGGTCGCGAATGGCCCCCAGGCCACATGTTTGAGACCCCTGGTCTAGGGGGTGTGGGTCAGGCTGTGTGGCCGAGGGCAAGAGCTGTGCCGTCCAGGAATAAGGCAGGAGACTGGCCTCGCTGCCTCCTAGCATCCGCTGCCAGAGTTTGATTGCCGTTAAATACAGTTAAATATTGGCTTCTGTACCTAGCGTGTGTGCAGGAGTGTCAAACAAATGCAAAAGTAATTCGTTGTAAAAAAACAACAACAACACCCAGTAACAAAACCCTACAGGGCATACAACGAAACTGTAGCTAAAAAGCATTCATGACGATATTAGTAGTAATCATTCATAATTATGTGCATCCAACAGAAAAACACTCGTTTAAACGTAGCTGACGTTCTTGCCCCAACCTGTGAAATCTGAAACGGGGCCTCTAAATATAACCTATTTAAATAAAAAAATGGAGGGGCGTCGTCTTGTTATAGACGTCTTGTTTGTTTTCTAAAATACCTAAACACACTGCACAAGGAGTGGTTTTGTACTCCGCTGCGCGCCCCCACCTTTAACTGCTGATGGCAGGAGGAGAAGAGGAGGCGAATGGTACGAACGCCCTTGTAAACCGAGCAGCAGCACAACCCGTTTGAGGCCCGGAGGAAAGGAGGGAGTAGTAGAGTGTGTTTAGAAGCCGAGCCATCGTGTCTACAACCCGTGACACCTTCCCTCCCTCGGAAGTCTTTTATGAATGAATTTTGGGCGCTCTTGGCTTTTTTTTATGAATGGGTAGTTTCAGAGGTGAATGAATCTCCGAGCTCTTTGTGAGGATTGGCTCAGAGCACAGAAACCACGCCTTACCCCGAGTGGGTGAGAGCCATTCTAAACTTTGATTGGTTGGGCATGTCCCGGCGAGCCGAGGGAATTTCCCCCCTCCTTCTTTTCCTCCATTCACAAAGTCAATGAAACAAAGAGAAACAGAATAGAGTCTGTTTTCTGTGAAAGAGGAAACGAGCCCGGGCTGGAGACGGGAGCAACCCTGCCCGGCTCAGTCCCACGAGAAGCAGCGTATCCCTGGTATCTGCAATCAGCTGCCTTGGTGGAGGCGGCGGCGGCCGACCAGGAAGACCTGAATTAACCCCCCTTTTTCCCTCCCCACTCTCAGGTGAGGAGGAAAGAGAAGTTTTCATGGAAACGGGACTATCATTTTCACTACTTACTGCAGAAGTTTAAGCCGGCATTTTGGGCGGGGGAAAAAAGACTATTAGGAAGAGTTATGGGGCCTAGTTAGTGGTGGGGAATTAATCTTGGATGAGGATCAAGAAATGGGAATGGAGGGAAGAGCAGAGGTAGAAGGGCTTAAGTTTTGGGGTGGAGGTTCAGTGTGGACAACAGAAACCAAGAGAGCATCGTGAGGGCTGATAGGCTTGTACAGCCCATGTTATTCATGTCTACTCAGAAGTGAGAGCCGAGTGGGACCTACTCCTAGGTAAGTATGCATAAGATTGCAGCATTTATTCAGGGCAAGGAAGGGATTGAGTGGTGGTGGAAGGGAAGTATTAAGCAAAGCTACATTTTGGGCCAGAGAGTGATCCATGCAGAGGTCAGCAAAAGTCACCAGGAATTAACTTAGAATTCCCCGAGGTGTGAAACTGATAGGCGGTGTAAAAAGAAGAGAGTGAGGAAATCGTGCAGGGAGGAAGCTACATTTAGGGGTTGGGAGACTGGACACCAAAGCTGGGGGAGAGAGAAAAACCTGAAACATGATTGTGGGAGAGAGAAAAGAAGAGGGAAATGGCAATGGTGGATAATATCCAGGAAAGGGCATCAAGGAAACTGGTTTGAGAGGAGAGGGTGAGGTTGCAGAGGACTTAAATGGGAACAAAAAAGATTGCAAAGGGGGAGCGGGGCCAAGATCCAGAAAGGAAACCACAGGAGGGGAGGTGGTATTCCAACAAATAAGTTGGGCCTGTACTAAAAGGGGATCTGTGTGACTAGGCTGGGGGGGGGGAATGTTTTGATAGTAACCTTTTCCTCTTAAGAGATCATCCTTGTGATGTGTGCGTGTGTGAGACAGAAACTCTCCAGCTCCTGAGCATAAACCCTACTTGGAGGTGCAATGAAATGGACCAGTGCCTTAATTCTTCCCTTGCTTGTCCCTGCTCAGACATCGACCTAAAACTTCTGTCTTACATGTGATTCTCTTTTGCACAGGGTGCGTCAACTGCAGTGAATAAACACAAAAAGCAAGGGCCTGAAAATCTCTTCTAGTTGTATGTAAGTAGAATGGTGTAATTTAAAAAAAATCTGAATTATATGGTTCCTTTTTCTTATGAATATGCTTATCTCATAAGTTATTGGCTTCTTGCTTTTTTGCTTTTGCTCTTCCTTATGAAGCCATGTCCCTTCACTTTCAGTGAAATTCCTTCACTTTCATTTAATCATTTTCCTTCCTCCCCCCCTTCCTCCTTTAGCATCTACTGCCTGCCCTCCATGCCTGTGAGGAATTCACACCCATGACTGATGGGAGGATGAAAAGCTATTTGGACCAGCAAGTGCCTTACACTTCTGCACAGGTGGGTGGCCAAAGAGAGACAACCTATGTTACTTCTCTTTTTCCTGCTGTTCAGTTTCCCCTTTTTGTTTTGCCCTCCAACAAAGCACCATATTGTTGATTTCTGTGGTTTTTTTTAACAGAAATTATCAGGGAATGGAACCCTGGATTGTAGAGCTATGATGGCAGCACGGAGGAAATCCATGGATCCTGGCGTGCCCCATGTCCCAGACTCAGAAGGTGTGTATGGGGGAGTGGGTATCAGAGAAAGATGTATTGCATGCTCCGTGATACCCTCCCTACGTCTGGAATGTTTTGTGTCCTTTGCACTACAGCTCCCATCACTCCAATAATGGTGTGGGGAATAATGTCAGCATCCTGTAGGAATCATGCAGCATCACTAAGCAGTCACACAAGCAACCCTACCTCTGCAGCTGCCTGCCCATCATTCTGACCTTCCTGGTCTGGTTGGGAAAGCAATTGTGCGCCTGTCTGCAAGATCAATGAGCTTTGTAGTCCAGCACTTCTGTCTAGAAGGCACCAGATTGTACCAAAGACTGGTCTGAGGAGAACATTGGAACAGAGCAGAATGATGCATGCCCTTGCTGGCTGACAGAAGCTTGACATGAAATCTTATGTATGAACAGGATGATATTTTATTGTAGCCATTATGAAACTGAGGAACTAAGACTTAAAAAGAATCCTTTATATTGTGGCCAAGTACATTGCCATAGGTTACGTTTGCTTGACTTCAGTGTCCAGTGCTCCATCCATAAGACCAGCATTTTCTAATCTTGGGCCATCAAACGATGTTGGACTAAGACTCCCATCCTCCCCCACCAGCATGTTTATGGAACAGAACACAGGGAAAGCAGCAGGCTGGGGAAGACTACACTGCTAAACAGGATTGCCCTCCAGATCTGATGGAATATAGTTCCCACTGTTAACCAGGTTGGCTGGGGATGATGGGGGTTGGAGTCCAAAATATTATTGGAGGAAGCTGACTAGATATCTCAATGGTTTAGATATCTTATTATTGGAGGAAGCTGACTAGATATCTCCCAAAGTTGGGAGTCTGATTCCTCCCTGTGCCTCCTGCGAGTAGAGCCAGCCTGTGTGGCCTTGGGCAAGAGGTACAGTCCCAGAGCGCCCGCCCCCAAACGAAAGGAACGGGAAACCACTTCTGAGTATTCTCTACCTGGAAAAACTCTGAAAAGAGTCTTCATAAGTCAGAATTGATTTGATGCCACATGATTGTTATTACATATTGGAGAAGGCTAGTGCGATGGTCTTTTTTTCTTCTTTTTTCTTTTGGCATTGATGAATCAGTTTTCATTACTTGAAGACGAATGCTTCCTGAGCTTTTTCTTGCTGTCCTTTCACATCCCTTGGATTTGTGTGCAGTGTTGTACCCCACCAAGAAGAGCTGCTAGAGGTGGCTGCACTGTTTTTTGCAGCCTTCTGCAACCTGGGGGGTCTTCAAATATTTGGGATGGCAAGTCCCATGAGTCCTCCCTCCTTGTTCGCTGGGGCTGATGGAGGAGGAGTACATCCAAAATACAGGGCAGGTACTTGGTTGGAGGTAAATAATATTTGATTATTTTGTTTTACCTAGGGAGAACAATACTGTAAGGGGATAGCTCTCCTTTCAGAATGCTCCTGCCCCAGCGTAAATATCTCTTACCTCATAAATGTCTATAAACTGATCGCCATGCCTAACCTTTATGAACTCCACTTTTACTCAGAGCACTTGGTGTTCTCCAAGAAATACTTTTAAAAAGTTTGATCTCCTTTGCATGCCTTGCTCCAAAAATGAAGGGTAGTTTTGATTCTCTGACAGGGCTGTCTGCGCATAAGCTGCACCCTGACGTCTTGTCTTCAAGTAGTATCGTATCTGTCATGTTACACAACTCGAAGAGCATCTGTGGGAAGAGAGCATGAAAATTGCCCATTGGGACTCCAGATTCTAGAATCCTCTAGTCAGCATGGCTGTATCATTGGGGGAATGATGGGAGCTGTAGTCCAAACAAAGAAACAAACAAAAAAAGATGCCTCTCCCAGCTTTCTTTTGAAATTCTACAGTCTCTACAGGTGAATGTCTCTTATAGATTTGACAAGAAAGATGACCTGTTCTGGGCTGGCCATGGTCTGCAAAGCTGGATTCCTGCTTTGCTGTGTGGCATTACATGGGGCAGGTGCCATGGATACAGCATTTTGTTAGGCAGTTGGTATCCCATTCTTAAGCACATTTTGGCAGCCAAGAAAGCCATCAGTTCTGTTCCACCCTCATTTTATTTTCACGCCACTCACTGAACCTCATGGCTGAGCTGGGACTTGACCTTAGATTGGCCCTGCACTGCAACCACTACACCACACTGGCTTCCCACATAGGAATGAGAACACCGGCAGCTTCCCTCTATGTTTTCTCTTGGGAATGTCTTTCCTTCATAAGCTGGGTAGTTTCAGTTGCTCTCTGCCATACTCTATCCCAGATGCACATACAATGCTACTCTTCTGTTGCCATAGAATGCTGTGCTTCTCACTTCAAATCCAGTGTATCTCATCTTCATGAAGAGGAAAACAAAAGAGTGGGGGATGGGGAGAAATAGAAAAGCTTACAGTGGTGTAGAACAGGGGTTTGCATTTCAAAATAAGGAAAATTAAAGCCATCCAGGTGTTAATCGCATTCCAACACACACCAGATCCACATCAGTGACAAACTGATGGGAGTTGTAGTCCAACCATATAAAGAAAGTCATGAGTCTCATCCTTGTTGGGTCCCCCATAGCTTTTTTCTTTTCTTTTTTTTCTTTTTGCATGAAATGGGGATGAAGATTATGCAGTTGGAGGACATTGTTCTGGATATGACAAGGTGGGGGTGATGGGATGTGCCACTTCTGTGGTTTTAAACCTCCCTAGTCAATCTGCTGTATTTGATGATTTTAATCAGTCTTTAACCTGTTCCCCCAATTCCTGCCTTAAAGTCCCTCTGTGGTTCTCACCACTGTGAATCTGTGGTCATCACAGCCCACCGTATTCTCTTGCAGATCTATTCCATGACCTGAACCTGTTTCAGGAAACCTGGCTGACCGAAGGTAAGGCAAGGTTTTGTTAGCTTTCCTCCTCTTTTGGGTGTTGCCTTTAATCTGTCTTTTTCCGACTCTCCTTTTTTCCTCTTTCTCCCCCTCTTGCTTCTCCATGTTTTGCGTGCGCATAGCTGAGTCTCTAGGCTTAGGTAAACTCAAGAATATGAATCGTATCATTGTGTCGATATTTGCTTATGAAAGGAACTTGGTGTGGGGCCTTTCCAGCATGGTGGGCTTGGGGGGTGTTTGGTGCACCCCTTGGAAATTTGTACGTCTACCACTTAGTCTCAAATTTTGGAAACAAACACTTCATTCATTATTTATTTTAGAAAGGCTTTGCCATGTTCTCTCTTTTTACGGGAGGCTTGTTCAGTTTTGGTGTTTCTCAGCTGTTTCTTCACTGCTCTCTCAACTGTCATCAGCTGGGGAAGGGAAACTTGCGAATTCCCAAGAGACCAATTAATATAAATGGTAGTTAATTGCAGTTTTGAAGTGGGCTTTGTATTTTTGTGCCTAGAGACGTGGCGTTTTGAAAGGTTAAGGAGTCTCTCTGTCTTATTTACTTTCATTCAGAAGGTTAATTGTGCTTAGCTGGAAAGTGAAAGAAAGATCATGAGCCCCAGCAAAGATGAAATAATTGTAGACACTTAATGGCATGGATGGCACATTTTTTAAAAAGAAAGCGGATCATAAGCTGAAGTGGGGAATTCCACAGCAATGACTCAGAAATATATGCATGCCTGAGTTGGCCTTTTATCTGAACTAGAAATTTGTCAGCCTAGTTTGATAATACAGTAGAATTTATGGTTCGCTTTCAGTCAAGTGGCTGGTTCGCGTCTTACTTGGATAAGTGCAAAAAAAAAAAAACAATTTTGAGTCTTACGGCACTGCACTTGTTGCGGTACAGCTTTGTCAGCCTAGTTTGATAATACAGTAGAATTTATGGTTCGCTTTCAGTCAAGTGGCTGGTTCGCATCTTACTTGGATAAGTGCAAGAAAAACAATTTTGAGTCTTACGGCACTGCACTTGTTGAGATACAGCTTCCACTTTTTTCTTTAAAAACCAAGCTATTACACTGCATTGTTTTGGAGAAACATTTTTATAAGCTCTATAACCCATTGTTTCCCTCCAAAATTGAAAGACTGGGAAAGCATTTTTCAAAAGGTTCCAGACGGCAAGTCTTCTTCCTAGAAACAGAATACATTATGGAAAATTATGTAACATTGAACTGCATGATTTATTCTAGTGATATAATTTTATTTTTTTAATTTAAGTCAGGCTTAATGAAGACTTCGAACTAAGGTTTACATCCTAGAAAGAGAATACATTATACACCACTGAGTCAATGCATGCAAGGATATTTAATTTGCATAATGTATTCTGGTGATATAATTTTATTTTGCAGTTTTACTACAGTCTAAAGAACACACTACTATAGGCAGTGGCTTGTCAGTTATATTTTAAGAACTATAAGGATGAGGTTTGGAGGAGTTGTTTTAAAATGATATTTTGCCATAATTCAGTTCCTAATATTGGTCAAGATATTTTTGAAAAGTGGTGAATTCCTAAATTAGGGGTACACACAAAAATAGATTGGCTTGCACAGAATAGAGAAAAAATAGGAAGGGATTTAGAAAACTTTATTTGCAAAGCATGAGTTTTCTTACAGTTGAAAGTGCATACTACAGTAGTAGGTTTAAGTGTTTTAAGCACTATATTTTGGTGTCCTGTGATTTTGAATCCTTAACATGGTAATTTCACCTCCTTGCATTTGGAACGTAAATAAATATGATTTCTGGCTGCCAAACGCACATTCTAGGAGGACCTTATCTTAATGTGCTGCTCTCAAACTAGTGTCTAAAAAACTCAGTTGGAGAATGATAGATATTGTGCTTAATTTAGGTTATTATTCTATCCAGGTTTACCCGGGAATAAGCCTCAATGAATATAGAAAGTAAATAGGCACTGCACAAGCTTTAGCAAAGGTTTTCAGAATGTGGAGTCATGTTAGGGCTAATAACGAGAGTTTCCAATATTCACCTCATCTTTGAGCATAGGGGTCCCAGGGACCTCCAGCAACAACTCATGATACTGTCAATAGGATGTACTTTGCCCACATCTGCTCTCTTGAAGCAGATGTGGGCAAAGTACAGCCCCTTGACAGGAGCATGCTTGTAAAAGCCACTTGAGAGGCCGTAACAGTGGCTGAGGAGAATTGCGCCTAAATCCTGTGTGTAGGCTTCTCGCACACAGTGTGGTTCTTATAATTATTAGAATCTGGGGTTTTGCTGAGAAACTGAACAGTGGGAAATTAAGCCTTAAGGAGAAACAAAAGGAGTAACAGTTTACACTGGACAGACAGAGTTAAACAGAAGAATTGTTTACCTTCGTGGTTGTCATGGCTGCCAGCTCAGATGTTGTCATGGCTGCCATCTTAGATAGCTTTAAAAGTGGGATTAGTCTGAATCGTGGAAGATAAGGCTGCTGATGGCAGCTAGTCATGACGGCACATTGCCTCCAAAGCACATTGCCATCTACAGCTAGTCATGACGGCACATTGCCTCCAAAGGACATTGCCATCTACTGAAGTCCAGACAACCCAGAGGCATGTGGCCAGGTCTTGGAGGCAGTAGGCCTTTTGCTATAACCTTGGTGGGGAAAGTAAGAGGAAAGGCGGTGTTGCACTCATGTTGCATTCATTTTGTGGGCTTGTCTAAGGAATCTGGTTGTTCACTCAGGCAAACTGAATGCTGGGTGAGAGCTGGGCAGAGTTCCTTTTCTTTGTTTCTTTTTTTTGGACTACCAATCCCAGAATTCCCCAGTGTCCAAATCCTTTGCTGGACTAATCAGGCTTCTATTCTGACCAGACCTTGGCAAATGTCTTTCTTTTTCTCTCTTCAAAACTGGAACTCTTAGAATTCCAGCCCATGTCTATAAAGGTTTTTATGTCAACGTTCATGTATAAACCCATGCATGAGCGTTTTATCTGTGTGTCTGAGGAAGTGGAGTGAAATAAATCTGTTAGTCTTTAAGGTGCCGCTAATGCTTTTGCTTTTAGTTTTCACTTCTGTTTGGGTTTTTATATGTGATGAAACAGACTCATGTGGCTGCCTCTTTGAAGTCCTGTTGTTCAGCAAGCAAGACTTCGAGTTGCGATGCTGTTTGACTCCCAAGCTGAACTCAGCAAATTCCTAGGGTGTATTCTGTGATCCAGACTTACTTCCAGGGTGGGTGGTAGATTGTACAGGAGTTTTTAATCTAAGACTGTAATTGCTGATAATAATTTAGGGCATCACAAAACTGATGTTTGATTCTTTATTTGAAAGTCGGGCGTGCGTTGAAGACTCTTGAGGTTTTCTTTACATGATAATCAGAGATCTGTTGTCCGTAGCAGGGAATAAGGATGAAAGCAAATAATAATGTAGAGATACCACTTTCTTGGCTTGATTGAATGAAAGATGTATCTAGCCTTATCCAGCACCCTCTCTACACAAATAACCCAAGTCATATGCCTCTGAAAGCTTACATACAAGGTATGAGACGAGAAAACAGTTCCTTCATTGCCTGCCTACAGCATCTTGTATACTGCCTTTGTTTTCGGATGCTCAATTTGGGCTGTGAGACAGGGATGGATTTCTAAAGTCATACACTCTTGATCCCAGTTTATCTCTTTCGACTGAAAAAAGCCAGTGTTAAGGTGGTGTGCTCAGCATACAATTGTGGATTCAGTTTCAAGATATCATGAGAGTCTGACATATGTGACTATAATACATTCAACCATAAATTTTTAAATCAGATTATTCTTATACATAATCTAAGTAAATGTGATTTTTTAAGAAATGAACTAAACGTTCAATATAGGCTAGAATCCTATTGCCAATGTATGTTTGTATAAGGGGAATCATGTAAGTCATGGTAGCAAACTGCCACTCTTTAGCAAGATGCTTGTTGCATTCCTGACTGCACACCTAACTGGGTACATGCACAGAAATGCAACTAGCTGTTAATGAGTGGCAATTTGCTGCCAAAACTTCACACAATTTCCCTTATACTTGTGTAAGCCAGCAATAGGATTCTGGCCATATTCTTTCCTTTAACCATTCTGAAAGGAAGCTTGGCTTGAAAAGAGACACGAAACCTAATATAGGGAGTTGGGAAAGCATCCCATTTGCTCAGAGCCTGGCATCTGCAGGCTTTGGGCTTTAT